TGAGGAGTGCAGTAATATTAGCAGTGAGCATTCTGATTTTGGGGAGGTTGAAAGGGGGAGGGTGAGGCAAGTTTTTAGGGAATGGATGAATTGTGGTGTGGCTGAATATACGTCAAATGGTTCTCATATGAATAATAGTTCAAGGGCAGAGTGGCTCGGTGAAACTGAACAGGAAAGGGTGAGAATTGTAAGGGAGTGGGTGCGAATTAACAGCCAGCAGAGAGGTGCCTCGGGTGACAATAGAGGAGAACAACCTGCTGAAATTGGTAATCAAATTGAAAGAGTTCGTGATGGATTGATTGTTAACCAAACTGAAGGCAGGTCTGAGCATACACGAAGGGGAATTCGTAAGTTATGTGGTAGACAGGCTATGCTGGATATGGTAAAGAAGGCTGAGAGGGAAAGACAAAGTGAACTTCAAGTCTTGTTGGAGCACCGGGCTGTATCACAGTTTGCTCACCGCAACCGCATTCAGGTTCATTGCTATAATGCTTTCGACATCGTCACTTGCTTGTTGAAAATGGGATTTTGAGTTAGTTATACTTGAACTTACACTGTACTTTTTTGTGAAAGTTTTTATGTACAATATTTGACTATCATCGGTTAATGTGAATACCCACACAAGCGATCTTTGAGACAAAACCAATATGTTAGTGCTATGTCATAGAAGTGTAATAATGTGTTTTTATATTGATTTTAAACTTTAAGGCATGGAAAATAATTTTGGGTACTGGTATGCTAACATTGTTTCTCTTGCAGTCATTGCTTAAAGGAAGATTCTTACGAAATGCTAGAGTGATTGAGAACGAGAGACCTACTTCCTTGGCTGAAAATGAATTAGGCTTATTGAGACAAAGGCACACAGTCTCTGGTCTTAGGTATTTTTGCCCTGTTTTAATTTGAAAAATATTTTTCTTTCATTTTTCTTTTGCAAAGTTATGCTCTAATTTGCATCATCTCATAGTGATGATTTGACCCATCCTTATAATTCTCTTTCATTTTTTGTGTCATTTGTATTTTCTTTACATTCGTATCATCTTCTTCCAAGTTTGTTCATGTATGAATATTTGATATTTCTCCCAACCTCTTTTGAATCGTGAAATTGCTTTTGGTATAATTTGTTTAGTTTAGGGGGGTTGAAGGGTGTTCCACAATAGAAAGATGATTGTGGCCTAAATTACATTAGGCAGATTGTGAAGTTTTTATATTTTGATTATTTGGAAGACACCAAAACATAGTGGGAAAAGGCTTTGTTGTTGTTGTTGTTGTTGGAAGACACCAAAACATAGCTATTAGCTTGTGCTGGCAAGTTATCTCAATGGTCAAACAAACAGGTGAATTTGATCTGGACACACTATTAAGTAGGGGGGTTGTCAAGCTGTACCAGTTTTCTTCAGTTTCCTTTCTTCCTTTACTGGTTTTGTATAATGAAAAGTTTTAGACAAACAATTTACCTTTCACATGGTGAAATTGAACTCTAATTCTTTTTCTAAACCCCTTATCACCATTTCAGTATGATGTTGCCCCATAATTGCTGCTCATGCTGCTGTTCTGACGGTAGTAAATTAGGAATTGATTATGGTTCTCGGACTTTGTCCCATATAATTTTTTATTTTTGAGGTTACAGTAATGTATGTAGTATCTGATGTATACATATAGTTTCACCCTTAGAGCATCTTTATATATTTACTATAGACTGGTTGAGTAAATCCATTAGTGTATTTTTTTGTTTGCTTGTCAGTGAATCTTTATGTCTTACATTAATAGTGAATTAAGTTCGTTATTCGTTTTTCTCTCGTTATATTGAAAAAAAATTCTCATCGATATTTTGAAATCTATTGTTTGAGTAGGGACGGTTTTTGCTCCAGATTGGATAGTTCTGTATCCGGTCAAGTAAGCAGCAGCCACTCTGAGACATCCTGTAGTGTTTCTAATGGTAGTAGAAATGGGGATGGTCAAGCAGACAACCCACGTGAGGTCCTAGCCGGGTCTTCTGAACGATCTGCCGCTAATGACGAGGCAAGTGAGGATCGAGAACATGATAGCTGTGGAATATCAGATTGCAGGGATTTGGGTGGCAACACCATTCAAGATATAGATTCAGATGAATCTAATGCTCCTGTAGAGGGTTGGCAACACCATTCAAGAGACTGGCAGTGCTCAAGTATCACTGAATTTATCGAAAGGAGGGATGTTACTGATTATAACATGATTGGGGACTTACAGGCAACCACTTCTGTTGAGCAGCCCCAAGAAATTTTGCAAAATGATGCTAGTGGACACAGTAACACGCGAAAAGTCAGTCATATATCTAATGAGCAGTCTGAGCCAAGTGGGGAGGCAAGTGTAATAGGTGAACAGTCTGATCATATATATAATTTACTAGACAGCGTGCCTGGGGATGTAAATTTTCAAGAATTTACTTCCCAGGTGCAACAGTGGCAGGATCGAGTTTCAGAAAATGCTGGAAGGGACTGGCAACAACCTGTTGTTGAGTATAATGACTTGAGAGAAAATGTTGGGGAAGATACAACTAGGGATCAGCAGGAAACAACTGCTTATGAATGGTCCCAGGAGTTGTTGGAGAGCGAAGATAGAGAAAACAGTCATCTTGAAGTTCCTGAAGTGTGGCACGAGGAAAGTGGTTTTCAGGAGGCTGTTCAAAGTTGGTTAGAAGAGCCATCGGACCAGGATGTTGATCCGGTCAGGCAGACTGACGCATTTTATTTTCCGGATGATGATAATGCTCCTGGCACCGAGCTAAGGGAACTCCTAAGCAGGTGTGAAATGTTATTAATTTATGAATATGCCTTTGGCTTCTGATGGATCTGTTTTTCTTATGGAAATCTTTTTAATGTTGCAGGAGAAGGGTCTCTAATCTTCTTAGTAGTGGTTTCCGTCAGAATCTAGATCGACTGTTACAATCATATGTAGAAAGGCAAAGTCACGCTGCCATTGACTGGGAGCTGGATGATACATCACCTTCTCCTGAACCTGCAGAACAGGATCTAGAGCAGACAGGTGCATATCAAAATGGGGGTCACGTGGATGCTGTTGAGAGTCGTAGTCCTAGTACTGCTCTACGATCACAGCAAATACCTTCCTTGCCACTTTGGGACCAGGAGTCACACTCTGATAATTGGCCACAGCATGACATGCATCAACATAACGGAATTGTGCGTTCCCATATGCTTCTCGCATCATAATTTGTGATCTGGTATCAAGACACTAATATTTGTGATGCCTGCCTTTGGCTCATTCAACTGACACATATTTTACTGATACAGGACTGGGAGGTAATTAACGATATGAGGATTGACATGGCCAGGCTATACCAGAGGATGAATAACTTGCAAAGAATGATGGAGGCCTGCATGGATATGCAACTTGAGTTGCAGCGCTCGATAAGACAAGAAGTTTCTGATGCCCTGAATAGATCAGCTGGTTCACGAGGTTTGTCTACAATACATTGACCACCTCTCAATTAGTTTTACTTGTGAAGTTTTCAATACCGCGTTTTTTTTGCGTTGGAGTACCATGTGATTTCACTCTTGGATGCGCTACGGGCTTTCCTCGAATTGACTTTGAGAGGTGCCTTGCTTTGCAGGGGTGTGTGAAGACGGTCTGCTAGAAGATGGGTCTAAATGGGATCATGTAAGGAAAGGAATTTGCTGTATATGTTGTGAAAGCAGCATCGATTCTTTATTGTACAGGTAAAACTCCAAAATGTGTACCTTCGTGGTTCAAAGTATTTCTGCATGTGGAGATTCTAAAACCGTTTTCTGATTTCTGTTGATTTCTTCTCGCAGATGTGGCCACATTTGCGCGTGTTCAAAATGTGCTACTGAATTGGTTGAGACTAGCGGAAAATGTCCGATGTGTAGAGCACCCGTGATTGAGGTGATTCGTGTTTATTCCGTGTTGTAATTTAAAAAACAAGGTTCAATTAACAAAGAATATGTATAGGAATCATACGATTTTGCTGCCAGCCCACCGATCTCCTTTTCTCTCTGTTTTTTGTTCCTTCCTATGTGGCATGGTGTCTTGTATGTTGAGTGTATGATTAACATCACACATGCTGTCTTTCATTCACAATAATTAAAATAAAGACTTATCATTTATCTTTACTAATTAATAAAATTCTCTTTGTCAACCAAAAGAGGATGAAAAGATAAATTAGTCTTCTATCACACAAAAAAATGATAGGTAATAATGTAATTTCACAGGTTCAAATTTTATTTATTTTTATTGAAGTTTCACTTACACGTGATGTTAAAATACCTTTAATATTGAAAGAAAAAAAAACCAAAAACAAAAATCTTTCACTCCCCCCACGTTCTCTCTCTCCGTCTCTTCTCATTTTCTAAAAAAATGTGTTTATACACACAAAATGTGTAGACAAATATTAATAAATATTATTAAAATTGTATTATAAACTGCACGTTAATAGAAAAGATATCTACTTAAAAGTTAAAGGTGAGAAATTACATCCTCAATAATATACTATTAAAAGATCGTCGGAGACATTATTAGCATTTCAAAAAATTCGGATTTTAATTGAAATGAAAAATTCGTATTTTAAATGAAACGAAGAGTGCATAATGATGATTTTGTAGTGAATAATTATAATTCCGTTTTGCAAGTTAAAAATCCGCTGTGGGTCAATATTTGAAAACAAATGACCGGACGGACTGACTCTCCGAATTTGAAGACCGCAACGAATATGCATGGCTGATAGACAACTTTTAAACACGTATACAAACCCGAGATCCACCTTGCCAGACTGGTTAAAAAGTGAATAAAATGGGTGCTTATATATTATTATTATTATTATTTTAAACGATATTAAGAATGATTTAACTTCACAATGGCTGGTTCAAATTCACATGAAAATCGAATTTATGACATCTCAAAATTTAAAACACCTCACTCATAAGTGAAAATAAATACAAATACTAAATGGTAAGATTACAGTTAACAAAAAAAAAAAAAAATGAAAATTTAACAAGAAAACAGCCTTTCATTCATAACCAAAACAGATGGATCATTTTCACACACCATCACCACACATGGGTAATTATCTATGCCCTAACGGACAACAAACTAATAAACAATTTTGCAAAACAAAAACTAACTAACAACAAACACATTAAGTAACACGAAGTTCTAATTAAATAATCAAGACTTGGACGACCCTCCTCCATATGAAACATAAGTGCTCACGGCCTTGGTCCCCTCCGCCATGGCATGCCTCCCAAGCTCCCCAGTCAAAACCAGCTTCACCGCCCCTTGAATCTCCCTCGACGACAATGTCTTCCTCGCTGTATACGTAGTCAGCCTAGCTGCCTCATCAGCCAGCTTCTCAAACATGTCGTTCATCAAGTTATTCAACACCGTCATGGCCTTGGACGACACTCCCATCCCAGGATGCACCTGCTTCAAAACCTTATACACATATGTCTTGTACTCTTCTCTTCCCCTACTCCTCCTCTTCTCTCTCCTCTTCCCTCCTTTCACCTCGCTTTTCTTCTCTCCTTTCTTCGAGGCTTGCTCTTCGGTTTTCGTCAAATCTTCCGCGTCCTTGTTCTCTCCTCCTCTTAGGGTTTTGTCCTCCTCACTCTTCTGCTCTTCTTCCTTCGATAATTTCTCTGTTTCTTGTGGATCAGGAGTCGTAGGATTTTCTTCTGCCTCTCTGTCGACTTGGACTTCAGCGTTTTGTGTTTTTAGGGTTTGGTTTTCTGCCTGGGTTTCAATGGGAATAACTTGCTCCAAAGTTTCAATTGGAATAATACTAGTCTTGAGCGGCTCTTTCCCAACTGAAACTTCTACGTTTTGGGTTTGATTTGAGTCGTTGTTTTCAACGGAAATAGTCTCCAGTGGACGATCTTCTTGTTGTTTCTTCCTTCTGGTTTTAACCACTGAAACTTCAACCATTTCTTTCACGACTCGCTTGGTGGTCTTCACCACCATCTTCGCCGAGCGCTTTGGAGCCATTTTTGACACCGCTGTGTTAACCTCTTTCCCTCTCACTCTCAGAAAACTTAATTGAAAATGGAGATAATCTGGACAAGATTTATTGTTGCAGTTAAATATCTGCATCGAGCAGATAATAACTGTGTTGGTGGTTTTACTGGACGTTGACATGTGGCGGACAGGTGTTGAGTGGTTTCTGAACCTAATGGCTACGTCGGTAAAAGTGAAATGGTAAGCACACGAGGCCTCTGGATAACACTTCAGATTTCACTTCCCTTCATGGCACTTTCCACCTTTGAACTTTAGTTAGCGGTGGACGCAAAAGTTGGTCCAACAAAAGCAAAAGAAACCGATATGGCAAGATAACGGTAAACGTGTTTTACATAAATTATTTTCAAACATAAGATTGAATGGATAATGCTTGTGTCATTTACCAATCTTTATACATTATATCGAAATAATTTATTTTTTTTATCATCATTCAAGTAAACTTAGTATTCATGTCGTGTTTTTCATGTTCGTGTTCTTTTCATGAAATATCTGATATTAACAGGTCATGTCATGTAACACCTTTAAAATAAACGGGTAATATGACCCAATTGGAAAGTGACCCATTAATATTATTAGATACTAAGTTCCGACCCGTTATCTGTTAAAAAAATATATTTTAAATCAATAAATAATGAAAATAAAAAACCTAATTTGACCCAGAACATAAGGAAAACATAATACTAAATTAGTATATGCAATGTCACATAAATATAACTCCAAAATGTGAAAAAAAAATATTTGTCTTTCAAGTTATATCCCCCAAAATAAGAGCCTAATGAAAAAATATTAGTATATTGTTTGACAAAAAGAAAATAAATATATTACTACAAAATACTAAATGTTCACGGATATGAAAAATGAAAGGAGTTGCATTTCAAGGTTGAGGATGCAACATGAGCGTTTATATATGTTTTCATATTTTTCAAACTTGTACATTAATAATTATGAATTTTATTTATTTTGAAATGTACGCATTCTCAAAGCGTAGAGGATACGATCATAAGCGTTTGCCTATTTTTACACATTTTTTGCACGTGTAAATTAATTATTATAAATTTTTAATGTGTTTGGTATTTTTAACTTACTTGATCTTTTTTTTCTTAACGTGTCGAAACGGGTTACCCACATGTCACCCTCGCGTAAACCTGTTAATGACCTGTTATTAACGGGTGCTTATCGTGTGATCCAATAACGACTTGATTAGTTATTGTGTCAACCCGAAACCGTTATTTTTGTGTCGTTTACATGTTATGTTAACGTGTTATGTAAGAAATTACTAGGTCTACATTTAAGGATACATATGCAAAAAAATTACTTAATTTAGAATATTTTTAGCTATTTATATACAAAAAATAAATAGACAACTTATCATGAGGATGTTGCTTGTTATTAAAATTATTCATAGTTTAACAAGTAGTAATCACTAAATGATCTTTAAATTGAATAACTTTTACAAATATAGTTTTTAAATGATCACAAAAAGTATAAATGACATATGTTCAGATAATAAAAGTTCATTAATATTAAGTAAAGGATAAATATATCCTCAGACATAAATATTATCTTTGTTTTTTTTTTTTCGGTTTTTTGTTTTGTGTTTTTTTTTTTTTTTTTTGCTAAACGATATATTATGTTAGAATTGGTTTTAGATTAGCCACCGATGATGTTCGAACCCACACGGTCATGCAATGACTCAACATCTTTCCACCATTGTGGTAAATATTATCCTTGTTGAAATTAATATACGGGCAAAGACATGGAAAAAAAATACGGGAAAAGACATGGAATAAAGCATCCTTGTTGAAATTAATATGCGGGCAAAGACATGGAGAAAAAACACTTATAGGAAAAATTTTACCTATAATTAGACCGATATGGCAGGATAACAGTAAGCACGCTTACATAAAAATCCTTCTGAAATGTATGGTTGTAATTTCAACATGAAATGAATTGGCAAAGGCCCAAAATTGCGTACATTGAAATGCAAGACTTGAATTGACAAAAAAATGCAAATGCACGACTTGAAGATATTAGGGCTTCCATGAGCTCCCAAATGAACATTTTAAGTTATAAGTGTATGAAAATGTTATTTATTCCAGATTGCATATGTTAATCACTATTTTAACTGGATCTATCTTCACACTCTTTGATCGTGTAAGACTTAGATTGTAATTTAAGGTTATTCGGAAAGATTGATATTTTTGTAAGTGTTATTTGTGGTTAAGAATCGTAATTTGAAAGTATATCGATATTCTTATTTCATGACTCCTTTATTCTTTGTCTTAATTAATGGGAGGCTTGCAGGTTTTATTTGTCTACGTGAATCGTTATTTGTGGGATATTGCTCTAGGTATAAACAAGTATTTTTTCTTTTCTTCATGATGTATAATGATTGTCGTTCAAGAGTGTCTTTTGTTTTTGGTCACCAATTATCTCTCCACCTCCCAGCAGAGAACAAAGACAAATTAGAGGAAGCCTTTATCTTTTAGGAGTCACTCTTCTTGCGAAACACAAACACACACACACACACACACACAAATAGGATCCAAAGCTATACCTTCCTCCAACCCTTGCTTACACGTTACTTTATTATTTCAAATTTCTTTTGGCTGTACTATATATATGGTTCCAAATATTATTTGGCCCAAACAATGGTCGCTGACTCGCCTCGAAGCAGTATCAAACCAACACAATAATAGCCTCTGTGTGGGAGAGGAGAAATTCTTATATCACACTAATGAGAAGTGCATTTGCGTCCCACTTCCTGTTAGTGTGTAAAGGAAAGTAGAGGTTTCAAGTTTTCTAATATAGGGAATTGAATGTCATACTCCTTATAAGCACATCTAAGGTTAATTTTTTTTTGGAACACTTTGGATGCGGTCTCTAGTTATCAATATTCTTTGATTGAAACCTTGCTAGTTTTTAGTTTTTGATTGAGGTCCCTGACATTAATGTAATAATGTAAGTTACTATATTTTTTTAATTAAAAATTAAAAATTGAAATTTGTAATTGTTTATATTAATGAGATTTTAAATAAAACCCATAATTTATGGGATTAAAAATAATAAAATATAAATTATACTCTCTATTATATTGTGTGTGTGTGTATATATATACACATATATGTATGGGTACATTAACCAAAATTAACAAAAAAAGTTATTGTACCAAAACATGGATACATTCTCAAATCAACGAAAAAGAATGTACCCATATAAGTTTAAACATTGATTAAAAAATTTGAATGGATTTTATATTAAAAAAAGGGTACATTTTACATATAACAAATTGATATATTTGAGAATGGGTACATTTAAGATTAAAAAAATTGAAAAATTATATGAATGGGTACATTTAAGATTAAAAAATTGAGAATCTTTTTATATATAAAAAAAAAAACCTAATAGGTACAAACTTAATTTAATTTAATTTTTTTTTATTTTGGAAATGTTTGAATTGAAAATTAATTAGAAGTTTAATAGAGGTATGAGTATTAAACCCTAAATTAATTACTAATTTTTATATTAAAAAATTATATAATAAACATGTAAATTCATTATCATATTAATGTTAGGGACTTGAATCAAAATTTGAGAACTAATAAGGTATTAGTCAATGAACAGTAAAAACTAGGGACCGGATACTAATTTTTCCTTTTTTTTTTCTCCAATGTGGAATTCTTATATATGTACTCTCAATGTGTGCTTCCATATATCGGGTAGGAGAACATAAGAAATTTTCCTTCCCTAGCATTCCCTTGTAGGAACGTCCCTTACAATAGAAAATCGAATGACACCATTACCATCCCAAATATATTTACATACAACTATTTTACACAAGTTTACTACTCTTCGTAAATGGTGAGTTCAGTACCACACGACCTGTAATAATTGACACACACACAACTATAACAAAGAATATAACAAGTTTCCGTGAAAATAAAAAACAAGGAACAAGAAAGAAAATATTGCAATTGCATGTACTATAATATATATATATATATATATATATATATATATATATAATTCACATCGATCATAATAGATCCATATATTAAGTCAAGGAATTAAGGAAAACATATAAATTTTGCAAGCTAGAAATACTCGAAGGTTTGCAAGCTAGAAAAAGCATATAATTAATGCAGTAATATATAAAGAACAATAATATATACAGGCAGAGTGTTTGCAAGCTAGAAATACTCGAAGGTTTAATTATATACTTGTAAGTGAAATGTCTTAGATTCGATTCTCATCAAAGGCGAATTCGAACCATCTTATTGCTAACCTATTATAAGGCTAAGCCCACCTCCTTCCCTTACGGTAGATAATATCGTTTATTCAAAAAAAAAAAATTATATACTTGTACATCTCTTCTTAACTCTAGGAGATTCAAAGCAAGAGCGAAAGAATGAGTCTACCTCTTCACGCCCGGTGGTTTCAAAGAAGTCCAATCGTGCCAATTTCCTCTTATGTAAGAAAACATTTCCGTGTGCTTGTTTTCTTGGTGTGGCAGGGCAGCTTTGAATGGTAGGTATGTTGTGATCGTACGAGGCTGGCGTTCGACACAAGTCCTTCTGTCGATCATTTGGTAACTCATGAGCGATTGGTTCAGTAATATCGCCTTTTTCGAAATCTTTTGAAGGTTGATCGTGAAATTTTGATAGAAGTTGGTGATGATGATCATCAGATATTTTATGATCTTCAGCCATGGACATATAACTAACTACTCTATCTGGAGAAAGAGGTACTCTGAAAATAGAAAGAGATGAAGAGAATCTGACATTTTTTGGGGTTAAGTTGTAGAAAGAGGTGGAGAGAATTTGACAATTTGTTTTGTCTGCATCTTATATTGTAAAAACCTAGGTGTCTACTGTTAACAGCACCTTCATGTATTGTATTCTTCTCTACATAACCCAAGGGTAATCTGCGGTTTGGATATGCTATACAATTTTCAGAGAGACGGGCCAATGACTCCACTTCTAACAACACTGATACTGTCTTTAACTTAATAATCACCACCTGCTCAATCCGTCAGCTAATGTTGGGTTTTATCACAAAATGTCTCGATATTAGTTGGACCGGGGTTATGATATTTAAACTCTTCTTTGCTCAGACATACGACAGATGTAGGATATTTTAACACGCTCCCTCATGAGAGATCCAATTAGTAGGTCACACGTGGAAGATCTATACATCAGCAACCATATGTAGCCAGAGGACTTACCCAACACGTAGGGCCAAGGGAGCTACCATCATCGTGCAGGGCCAAGGGAACCCACCCATCACATGACACATTCCCTGGCTCCAATACAATATAGTACATGACCTTATGCAACGAAAAAATCCTCAAACGCTTCGGCTTAAATATAATTCATGATAAAGACTTCTACGATACAAGTACGCCGTTATTGTAATGTTTAGTGCATATTAAACGATAATATGTGTAAGTTTTACGTCACTTAATGTACTATTACTATG